ATATCCACAGTGAATGAATAACACAAAATTCAGAATGAATGAACTAAATATCCACAATGTATAAACTAAATATCCACAATGAATAAACTAAATATCCATAAATTCATAACTATATTTCCACAAATTCATAACTATATATTCACAATTTTAACTTTTTTTTTTTTAAATAGGACGCGCGTTTTTAGTCAAAACGACGTCGTTTTGCAACTGTGTGCACCATGCATGGTACACACAGTTGCACATCATAAATATTGCTTTATAAATCTCTGGCTGGTACACCAGCATGCCGAGCCTAGTAAAGTGGGCTTGTAACTCGAGCTAGGGTATTGAGATAATGGAACATTGAGCAAGTCTGACCAATTCGTTCTAATTGGTGAACGGTGGCTCGCCCTTTCTAAGCATAGAGTTGGGCTAAGGTTTCCGGGCAAAGGCTTGGGCTTCTTAGCTCCTAGAGGGTAGGGCAATGCGTGAGGCTGGTTTCACAAAGCAGCGATAACCTCCCCTATTCTTTGTAGTGGAAGGATAACGAGCTTCTGCTGCTTGGGATGCCTTACACTGATTGGGCTATCATATGGACCCTTATCTCTTTTATGGTGAGTTTGTCTTCGAATAATTTAAATATAATATTTGTATTTTATAATGAATTTCATTTTTAAAAATGTTGACCGGCTTGTAAGATGAAGGACCATGGTTCACCTTGTAAGGAGGGAATTTATTAACGTTAGGTTTATTTTGAGTACATTAAAAATCCAAATTTTATTTTTTAGAAGATTAAAGATCTATTTTTAATAGATTGATGCCACGTTTGGTTCGCGGAATAGGTCAAGAATAGAATAGCATTCTTAGTAATAGACCTATTCTTTTGTTTGGTAATAATTTTTATTCGCAGGAATAATGTTCCTGGGAATGACATGACCTATTCCCCTTGCAAGGAGAATACAGATTCCTGGCCTCCCTTTGGTATTAGGCTATTCCCGAGTTATAGGAATAGCAAAAAATTATCATTTCCTATTTTACTCCAACTCCTCTGCTCATGGTACCCTTCCCCAACACTTCCTGGTATCTTCCCAAAGATTTCCCCATTGCTAATCAGTTCAAAAGCTTTGACCAGAACTCCACTTTCTGTCATGCCTACGTGCTCAAGCATAATGTTTCTGCAATTATTCCACCTTTCATCTATGTCCATCTGATGACATTGATCAACACCATAAACTATTTTACAGCGACAAAAAAAAAATGGTGATCCAGAAGCTTCTCGCAATCGGAACCAGCCCTCGTCGCTAGAAGCTCTTCCGGCGATGGAGTCTATGCATGGGAAATCGGAGGGTGGTGATGGAGTAGGAGAGGCGTCGCGATCAAGGCCCTGTGATCAAATCTTTGATCGACGATCTTCGGAATTTCCGGAGTCTGTTCAGGCTGGGGACGCTGCGAGGGCAGGGAATGGATCGAAGTGCCAACGAACCTTGCTCCTTCGCCGCTGCTGCTCCGATCGCTAATGGGGGTGGTGATCGCGAGGCCCGGTCGTCACTCAAAACCCTCATTCTGGCTGCTCCGATCGCTGGCTGCTTCAAATTGATTCCGTGAACCAAACGGGCCATGAATGTTAAACTCTTTGAAGATTCAATTTTTGTGAATGAAGATTAATTATTTGATGATATATTATCTAAAAATAAACTTTCAATATATTAAAATAAATATTTAGTATATTAAAAATGAACATTTATTCGTGGTTCATAATATAATGAGTTAATACCCAAAATAATCCCTCGACTATGTCGTAATTACCAATTTGGTCCTCGACTATCATTCTTACCCAATTAAGTCCTCAACTATACAATTTTTACCCAATTTAGTCCTTTGTCAATTTGACTGTTTGTTGACTGTCAAAAGTGAAAATAAAGTTGTAATTTTACAAGTTTTCTCCTTCCTCCTCATTTAGCAGCGCCAAACCATGTAGCAATAAGTTCCGGTTGGGTTCTAAACCTGTCAGTATCGAAGTAGTGGTTATGCATCGGATAGCCCATGAATTTGATTTCCAACGATTTTTTGACGATCGAAATCTGATCGGAGTGTATTTCTGCATGGTTTGGCGCTGCTAAATGGAGAGGAAGGAGAAATCTTGTAAAATTATAATTTTATCCCGACTTTTGACAGTCAACAAACAGTCAAATTAATACAGAGGACTAAATTGGGTAAGAATTGTATAGTTGAGGACTAAATTGGGTAAGAATTGTATAGTTGAGGACTTAATTGAGTAAAAGTTATATAGTTGAGGACTTAATTGGGTAAGAATGATAGTTGAGGACTAAATTGGTAATTATAGCATAGTCGAGGGACCATTTTGGGTATTAACTCTAATATAATTTACTATGATAAACTTTCACGGATAATAATAAAATAATATAAATTGGTTGCGTGCTAAATCTGTTTGTATGTGGGATTACTAGAAGCACACAGTAATGTGTAACACAACTCAAGAATCGAGAGGCTCCAGAAGTTGAACTTTCTGAAAGTCAAAATAGGAATAATAATGAATTAATTCTAAGAATGGTTTCACATTTATCATTTTTTTTTTACTTTTAATTTAATTATAAATGGTCTTTTAAGTATTGATTTTATTTTAAATATTTGATTCTACAATTAAATATTCATTTTGTAAGCGTTAAATTCAAGGGTAAGAATAAAAAAAATTGATTTGTTACTGAGATGAGCAAATTAGGTTTGATAAATTTCATAAACTAGGTTTATTATTAGTGGGAATGTGAAGAATAGATTGATGCATAAGTCAATTTGGACTAGAATAGTATAAATCTTTGCCCCAAATATGAGGTGATTATATTTTTTTTTTCAACCCCTTAAATATACAAATCTAAGGTGAGATTATGCTAGCTAGCTAAATTTAATATTCTTACTCTTAAATTGACTCGCAATTAATTTTTATTTTCCATTTTAATCTCTTTAGTTTTTTTTTTTTTTTTTTTTTTTTTTTCTATCAAAAGGAGGGTTATGACCTTCTTGCTAGGTCAATGACACCTAACTAAGTAGTTTCTCTCCCTCGGAATACCCGAGGTCCTTCTTAAGAGTCTAAGTCGTTTCCTCGATAGGATTGTCTTATTTTTTTCACTTAATAGTCTGAAGGATAAGTTATTTTGGTAATTATATCCGCTACTTGATTCGACATGTTCTCTATAAATCTTGCACACTTCTAATTACGGGAAGCTTTATCCCCATCTCTATGACGATCCTCATTGTTTCCCTTGGCTTATAATTTTTATTGGTCTAGTCTACGATCTTTTGTGAGTCACATTGGATACCTTAGCTTGATTAAAATATAGATTGAGTTGGATTAGACCAAATAATATAAATCTTTGACTAGCTCATATTTATTTATTTTTTTCAATTTCTTTAGTTTTGAGTTATTTAAATGAAAAGCAACTATCTCAGGAATCAAGATTATGCAAGACGATTCAGATGTTCTATCGGGTCAGGGTTTGGAGGGCCCTTAAGGTTGGGATTCAACTTTTTGGAAAGAAGATTATGCAAGACGATTAGGGCGGGTTGAATTTAATTAAAGTTATTTATTTGTAAAAGTATGTCTAGTTAGCTGATTAAGGCTCTGTTTGGCAAACCTAGTTGAAAAGCTATAAGCTAGGAGCTGAAAGCTTAAAAGCTATAAGCTTGGAGCTGAAAACTGAAGAGCTGTTAAGCTAGCTGTTATGATTGAAAGTGTTTGGTAAAATTAGCTTTTTGATAAGCTGATAAATGTAAAAAGACTAAAAAGGACATTTTCATAAAATTTTTTTTTGAAAGTTACTGGCTCTATTACATTGTAATATCTGTTCATATACTTTCTCAACCTACTGAAACACAAAGAATTAATAACATCTTCACTAAGGCTCGAACTCATAATCTTTCAAATAGAAGTCCAACCCAAGTACCATTAGACCACATAGTCCTGGTGACATCTTCATAAAATTTAAATTAGTTTGTTTACATATTAAAATTTAACATTTTGTCTTTAAAAAAAATTAACATTTTGAAATAAAACTATTACCATAATCATGATATAGCATTTCATAATGAAGTAGCAATATTGATGCAAATCTCATAATAATAATAATAATAATAATAATAATAATAATAATAATAATAATAATAATAATAATAATAATAATAATAATAATAATAATAATAATAATTGTTGTGAAAGTTGCGGATAAAGGAATAGAGAAAATAGTTTTAATTGGGAAGGGTAAATTATGTCATTTCTTTAAAATAATAAGGATAAAGATGGAAAAAAAGTTAGGAAGCTAGGAGCTTATTTTGAAACGCTACCTAAGGTAGCGTTCCAAAATAAGCTCTTATTTTAAGCTAGGAGCTTATTTGGAAACATTACCAAACAGAGCTTATAGTTTATTACTAGCTTAAAATAAGCTATAAGCTCCTAAATAAGCTCTGCCAAACAGAGCCTAAGAGATGTTTGGTAAATAGCTGTTAGCTGATTAGTTAGTGAGTTTGATTAGTCGAATAACATTAATTAATTATAAAAATATGTTTAGTAAATTAGCTGTTAGTTGATAATTGATTACTTATAAAATGACATTTTTGAAAAGCTAATAAAAAAGCTATTGTAAATAATATTTTGAATTTCAGCATTTTGGAGTAATAGTTATTACAAAAAAGTTAATTAATTAAATATTTATATTGACTGTTTAATCAAGTTAAATAGATAATAATGATCAAATAAATTAAAATTAACTGATAAACTAATTATATTACGAAAGAGTGTCAAATATATATATATATATATATATATATATATATATATATATATATATATGTTACGGAAGATGCCTAAATATTTCCACTTTATACTCTACACACAAAATTATAAGCATTTGTATTGAGACTCACGCTTAGGGACACCCCATCACAAAAAGATTAGATTTGAGAGTACATATAGACATATAGTACGACTCTTTTAGTTATTCTATTGTAAGTCGGTCATATACATCGCTTACTGGTTACGACTTTCGTATGCTAGCTGTTGCCTGTTTATGATCTCCCATTTCCCCCAATTTCCATTCAATTCCATTCCTCCATTCGAGAGATAAGCCCTAAACCTGAATTCCAGAAGCTTCATGGGGCCTGTAAACTTCGTCAAGGGCTATGGCATGGTAGTGAATCCCGTAGAAGAAGATGAGGTCTCAGTTTCTAAGCGCAAAGCCTCGCGGAGACGCCGCAGCTTCATCGCCATTGCCGTCTCCCTCGCCGTCTTCCTCACTGTGATCGTCGCCGCGGTGGTCGGCACGTTGGTACACCGCTCCCACTCGGAGCGCGGCGGCGGAGATTCGCATCCGTCTCCGTCGTCATCGTCTCCCTCGACATCATCATCGCCGCCGCCGCCGGTTTCCTCCAACAACTCCACCGCCCTACTCGCCGCCGTGTGCGCGGTGACTCTGCACCCGGACTCCTGCCTCTCTTCCATGTCTCCGTTCCCCGCCCCGCCCAAACCCGACCCGGAACACTTCCTCAACGTCTCCCTGCGGGTCGCCATTGACGAATTGGCGAACGTGTCCTCGCTCCCCAAGTCCCTGATGTCGAAGGTCAACGAACGCGCCGCCCGATCGGCTCTGGAGGACTGCGATGGCCTGTTCGACGACGCGCAGAGTCAACTCAACGAGTCAGCCGGGTTTATGAACTCGGGTCCCGGAAACCTCACCCTCGCCCTCACCCCTTTCCAGATCAACAGCATGCAGACGTGGATAAGTGCGGCGATGACGGATGAGGACACGTGTCTTAATGGGCTGGAGGATGTGAATTCGACGGTGATAGGCGAGGTCAAAGCGAGGGTGCACAAATCGAATGAGTACATGAGCAACACCTTAGCGATCCTCAATCACCTACAAAGCCTTCACGAGAAGTTTGGTGTTCTAAAGCATTGATGCTCTTTGGCCTGTTTCTTGCATTGAATTGACTTGTCTTTTTTTTTTTTTTTTTTGGTCTTGTACAATCTCTATATTTTACTATTTTAGATATATGCTGGTACGCGTAGTAAGTGAATAGAAGCTTCTGCATTTGTTTGGTGAAAATGTAAAACATTTTCGTTTTGTACCATCCACATGGGCAAGGATTGAATTCCAACTCAAAGGTCTCACACGCAACTCAGACCTCACATCTCGACATGATAAAATATGTAAAAAGACCTGATAAAATATGTGAAAAGATAATAAATTATGGCAACTTAGTAGTTCAACATGTAAATTATGGTAACTTAATGGTTATACAAATAGAATCAAATATTAGTGTGCACAAGCGATTTGTTCATTTTAAACATAATCTCATACTGTGATTACCAAATTTCAAATTTTGGTGCTTCATCCACATGTGCAATACTGCTATACTTTTTCACTGTTTTATTATGTTTATACTTATATCTTTTAAATTAAATCTTTCTTTAAATAATATAACTCTAGTAGTCACAGGGACGGAGCCAGAAAATTAATTGAGTGGGGGCGAAATTTAAATGGCGATAGAAATGTCAATCACAAAATATCAAACTGGTATAATAAGGTTAAAATACAAAATACTTTATAAATTACAATAGAATATTTTTATAGATTACACGATAGTTAGAGTCGGAGCCAAAAATATACTTGTGTGGGGTGAAAATGTGAAAATATTTATAACAAAATATGAAACATAATCCATTAGATAAAATTTTTTGAATAACACTATATTTTATAAATACTTTTAAATTTAATTTTTTTTAGTTAGATCAATTTTAAGTTTTTCTAAATTAATTTGAATACAATGAAGTAGATCAACTTGTAAATTAATTCGAATAAATTTATATGAAATATAATATAAACTTGTGCACTACATTAATTAAATGATTTATAAAAGTAGACTAAAAAATATTTAATTTATCTTAAAAAGGAATGAAAGTGATAAAATAAACAAGTCTTGTTAATGAGTTTTGAACCTATGACCATATACTTTTTATTAAAATCAAACTTGGAGCCCAACCAACTAAACTACTCAAACAATTAATATATTAAATATAAATATAAATTTTATATAACATTTAATGCTATATATGTATATATATATACATACATATATATAAAGGAGTGGGGTGGGGGGAGTGGGGGCAGCTGCCCCCACTGCCCCCAGGCTAGCTCCATCCATGCTAGTAGATTAACTCATAAATAATGACAACAATAAGTAAAGTTGAGAAATTAGTCTTTGAGTCGTTGTCTTAGCTTATTAATTCAGTAGACAGTATTTGGAGAAAGAGAAATTAGTCTTAGTTAAATTATTTGGAGAACATCAAATGTTACTTGATGTAAAGAGCATTCTAGCTTATGTGTGGGAGCAATCTCTCAAAGTGAGAGAGCTCCTTGTACGTAGTAAGTGAAGGTCTAGCTTCTGTATTTAGCTGAATTACTATAATTTGCATCTTTTTAGATACTCTGTCCGGTCGGAGTGTGGAGAGCCTTTAAAGTTGAACTTTTTAGGAAGAATGTGAAGAGCATTCCAGGCCAGGGTGAAGTATCAAGTATGCATTAAATGTTCACCACTAGTTTATGCCAAAGAGACACTTCATCAGCGGACAATATAATGGACTAAAGATTTATCATTTTTCATATTTAAAACAAATTTTTAAACAGATGCATTTTCCTCAATAGTTATGCTGTATGTGGAACCGTGTTCACCATGCGCATGGTGAACACGGGATAGATCCATAATTTTTATACTGTAGATTCATAATTTATGTACTGTAAATTCATAATATCTGTATTGCGAAGATGAAATAATGCGATTGCAAAGAGAGAAACGTCGTTAACAACAAATGAAAAACAAAATTATGAATTTACAGCATAGAAATTATGGATCTACCCCTGTGTTTACCATGCGCATGATGAACACGTTTCTACAGCATATAACCCTTTTTAGGACTTGTACGGTTGATAATGTTATATGAAAAATTGTAATTTATGCCCCTCACAAATATGCTAATTATTAATGTCACTCATGAATTATTAGTAGTGTAAATGTTGTCTTTTAATTTTCAAAAAGTGACATATATTGCCCTTCCCTTAATAGGAAGAAGGAGAAACATTATTGTCGATAAAAGGAGAATAAACGAAAAAAGAAAAATGGAAGAAAAAAATTGTAGTCTTCGAACAGGAAAAACAACGGATAACCATATTTACACCACTAATAATTTAAGGGAGGGACAAATTGTCACATTTTGAAAATTGAGAGATAACATTTACACCACTAGACCCTTAGAATTCCCCACTTTTGTATAGCCAAAATTTTATCAGGGGATTATTAATAAAATACTTTTCAAAATACTTATTGATATAAATCCCTCTTCCGGGTTGTTTAAGATTTTGGAACAAAGAATATATATGTAAAGTTTATGAGTTAGGTACATGGAGTAGCAGATTCAAGGTCAAGGAAGAAGCCAATAAAAGATTGTACTTAGTTCACTGGCTCAAGACAGTTGAAGCTGTTGAGATAAAGGCGGAAGTTCAGATATAAAAGATAGATCAACTACTTTGCATGTGTCAGATTATTGTTTATTCTCCAGAGAAATACACATACGAGAGAGTTTGAGAAACTGAATCCAGGCCAGATGATTAAGAAGATTATTAGAATCGATACGGTTCACAACACCAAATTATAATAGCAGCTTGGACTATAGCAGTTTGGGCTGTGTAAGATTTAAAATAAATCATGTAAGATTTAAAATAAATCATACATAGAATAAGGTAATTTGAAGAAGAATTTTCTGTATTGGCAAAATGATATTACAATAGGAATTACAAATATAACTCTCTGTTTTACTCACTGTATTTTTTGCTATGCTAAAGAATCGATCGAATGGGTGGATGAATGAAGAGATGTTGCTTATTTATAGTAACACATGTGCCTAGAGATTTCCAAGCATTTAATGCATCACTAAATGCAATTCTTCTCCTTCTATTGTCGGTTCGTGACCCCTGGATGCCGAAGGCGTCCTTTGGGTGATCTCGTAGTTCCTACGGGGTGGAGATGATGGGGTCGGTTCATGGATTTTCCTTCCTTTTCTTTTGCCACATTTCGCTCAAAGGGTTGAAGGGAGATAGTGCATCAAGTTGTTCGCAAGGGTCTGCAAGTACAAAAATCTTGCTCAAAACTTAGCCCAAGCTTTTTCCTTTAAGAGAAACATATGCCCAAGCTTTTCCATTTAGAAGAAACTTATGTCTAAGCTTTTCCCGTTTCTCAAACCTATGCCCAAACAAACCTCATCCCAAGCATTTACTCCTCCAAACCTTAACCCAAGGTTTTGCTATTCTAAACGTCTGCCCATTTCTATATTTGACTTTATTATTTACAAAGATAGTTAGTGTCTAAATGCAATCAAAGTTAAGAATAGATTAATCATCTATATTCGATCAAGTGGGTTACTTGAATTCTTATTAATCAAGAATTACGGCTGTAAATTCAAGTATGTCTAACGGGAAGTTAGGAGAATGGTGCTATTGAGAGGAACCTTAAAGTGCATTGATTAGGAGATCGATTTGGCCAACTCTTTAACGAAGTTCGAGAGTGTTTTGAGCTAAGTTCTTTTGTAGCATATTTCGCATTTGTACTCGCATATTGTTGATTGATCAATGACAGTTGGGCAGTTAGCTCTTGGAATGCCCCTAGAGGTAGGAGAAGGATTCTCCGAATTGGACTATCAAACTGAGTGTATTTTGTGTTTGCTTTACTTTTGTTATATATATATATATATATATATATATATATATATATATATATAAATGTGCAATCCAACTATCAGTTTAGGCTTTGAGTTGAGATGGAGCACATGCTTCAATTACTTTCGATCACTCGCTGGTAGTTAAAGATTTGGTTTTTCGTTCTTAAATCTTTTGATGGGCTGTTTAGTTCACGAAATAGGTCTGGAATGGCATAGCATTCTCAGTAATAAGCTTATTCCTCTGTTTGGTAACCACTTGTATTTTCAGGAACATTGTTCCCGGGAATGACGTATTCCCCTTGCAAGGGGAATATAGATATATTCCTTGGGGCCCCCCGGTATTAGGCTATTCCTGAGTTCTCAGGTATAGCCTAAAGATTCCATTTCCTATTTTACCCCTCAATTAAATTTATTTCCTATTTCACCACCGCCGCCGCAACCACCACCATTGCCACTGCCGCCGGTGCCACCACCACTCCAGCACCGCCACCAACGTGGCCACCCCCCCACCACCACCACCGCCACCACCCCACCACCGCCACCACCCCGCCACCGCCACCAGCACTAGCACCACCACCACCCCAGTAACACCACCGTCACCGCCACCATCACCGCCGCCATCACCACCGCCACCGCCACCGCCACCACCACCACCGCCGCCGCCACCATCACATATTTTTATAAGGGTATTTATGTCTTTTAAAACATATTTCATTTCTATTCTTTAAATCAATCAAACACTGTAATATAATTCCTAAAGTCTATTCCTTCTGCGAACCAAACAATAGAATACAATTCCTATTCTATTCCTTGCCTATTCCATTTCTTATGGAATAGCATTCCTATTACCTCAAAATTCATTCCGTGAACCAAACGTGCCGTGAATATACTCCGCGTTTGTTCGACTGTATTCAGTTTGGGTAATAACCTTTGCTACTTATTTACTCAATATAGTGAGACTTTTAAGTCGTAAGTTTACAATTTTCAACCATTACCACCACCATCACCACAACAACAATAACAACAACCATCACTACCAATTATTATTATTATTATTATTATTATTATTATTATTATTATTATTATTATTATTGTTGTTGTTGTTGTTGTTATTATTGTTGTTGTTGTTGTTATTGTTATTGTTATTATTATTGTTATTGTTATTGTTATTGTTATTGTTATTATTATTATTATTTCAGCAAAACAGAAAATGATATTTTTCTAAATTTTGGCCAAACAGTAGAAAATTAAAATATTTTCTAGAAAATGAGTCATTTTTTGGAAATCATTTTTCTAAAAAAATATTTTTCAAACGGACCCTAAAAGAAAAGGTATTATGATGAGTATTATATCAATAGAGAAGATGTGAGATTTATAATGTGTTTTATATTCAAAACATTTTATACAATTAATTATATTTCATACTTTTTTATGAATATTTTTATTACATTTTGAAATGTTTTTATTTTTCACTCCCAATCAGGAATATTTTTGGCTTTGCCACTATAAACTACGAAGTTATAAAAAAATTTATAATCCCATAAGTAACAATTTTATGGTGTATTTTGCATTTTATAAAATTGTATTGTTTCCTTTTATATTATGGGTAAAACAATGGTATTTTTTTTAAAAAAAAAAAAAAACAACCACGATGGTTTATATTAGAGAAAAGCAGAAATAGTGTCTGGTGGGATAACATCTCAATACATAGCAGTAGACTGATCAAAAGCTGAAGATGCTAAGGTATGAGCTATTAAATTTTCTGATCTAGGAACGAAACTAATAAAACAGCATTCAAACGAAGTAATAATAGACTTGCAACTATCTATGGCATAGCCAACGTACGAGCGAACCAGTCCAGTGGTGGATGATAAATAATGCTTTAGGGTCAGGCAATCCATGTAGAGATGTACGAACCGCTCCCCACGATCCCTAAGTCATGACAGAACCTCCTTGCAAGCATAAGCCTCGGCCATTAAAGGCGAGAAGCAGTCGAGCAGTGTAGCATTGAAAGCTGTGACATAACCTCCATTCTCGTTGCGAAGGACCGCCCCAATCGAGGTCTTGTTCGTGGTCGGATAATATGCTGCATTGAAGTGACACACCCGGGCCCCGGTTGGCACGGCATTGCTGGAGTGGGCGTGCAGCGACAGTGCTTCGTCGGTCAAGCTGGGCGGCTGTGCAGTAGGACGCTGATTGCTAGCGTGGTGAATGCGTCGCCATGCATGGAGTGCATTTGTGGCCGCCGCTATGAGCTTCCTCGGGGTGGGTAAGTAGGCATCTCAGACTGCTCCATTCCTGGCCTTCCAGATATAATATAGAATTGCTGTTGTGGACATAATTCCATTAGTATCTAGAATATTCATCACTTCATCAAACCAAGAATGAAAATTATCGGTGACAATATTGGGGATTGAAAGGTGGGATTCATGCCATATAGAGCTTGCAAAAACACATGAAACCAATAGTATCCTCATGATTAACACCACACATAGCACATGTTGGGTCAATCCCCACTCTCTTTATATTCAAATTGGTAGTGGTAGGCAGGATATTACTCAAAGCTCTCCATAAAAATGTCTTCCATTTTGGGGGAATTTTGAGGTTCTACAATGTTATCCACTTATTAAAAGAGCCCTGCGTTGCCACATAATTTTCAACAATAAGTCTGTATCCGTTCTTAACAGAGTAACAGCCTTTTGTGTCCCCATGCCAATACCAATCGTCCTCATAGTTTGGTGAGACGGGTATCTTTAGAATACGAGCTACATCAGTAGGTTGAAAAATGTCTGTTAGGATTGAGTGATCCCATTGACCCGTATCCTGATCAATTAAACCTACTACTTTTGCTCCAACAAGATGAGGGGGCGTTTCAGTATGTATCATTGGGTCTTGATCATTCTGGAGCCATTGATGGTTCCATATTAATGTTGCCTTGCCATCCCCAATTCGGCGTCTGACTCCACTACAAATTAAATCCGTAGCTGCCATAATACTCCTCCAGCAAAAGCTAGGATTATTTCCCAAGCATGCTCCAGGAAAAGAATCTTTAGGATAGTATCTAGCCTTGTATACCCGAGCTACCAATGAATCTGGTTTAGTGAGAAAGCGTCATGCCTACTTTCCCAACATGGCTAAATTAAAAGCTCTCAAATCTTCGAAACCCAAGCCACCCTGCTTCTTTGGGATACATAACTTATCCCATACTTTCCAGTGTATACCTCTTTCAGTTCCACTACCCCACCAATATCTATTCATGGTTCATTCAATAGCAGACAGAAATAGGTAACAAAAATACACTCATTGAAAATGTAAGCATAGATTGAGCTACACTTTTCAATAAAACTTCTTTACCAGCCTGTGAAAGCAATTTTTTATTCCAGGAACCTATCCTCTGTCTGATCTTATCCTCAATATATGAAAAGACTACCTTTTTATTTCTTCCAATAAAAGAAGGGATCCCAGATATTTACCAAAATTCGGCGCCTGAACCACCCCCAAGACTTGCACCACTGCCTCTCGATGGGTCTCACATTTATTTTTGCTATAACAAATACTAGACTTTTGATAATTCACCATCTGCCCAGATAAAATCTCATACCATGATAAACAATTCCTTATTTCACCAGCTTCCTGTATATTAGCTTTGAAAAATAAGAGACTGTCATCAGCAAAAAACAAATGAGTAATAGGGGGGGGGGGGTTGCCACTCTACAGCCATATATCGAACCCCTGCTCTGTGCCTACTGAAGTAATAACGAGAGAACTTCTGCACAAATAATAAAAAGATAAGGGGATAGAGGGTCCCCTTGCCTCAATCATCGCGTGGGCACGACCTGCTCGCTGTGGTTACCATTTATCAAGATTCTATAGGACATAGTAGTGACACATACCATAATTAATTCAACCCATCTATTATCAAAACCCAAAGCCAGTAACATGCCACGCAGAAAAGACCATTCCATACGGTCATAGGCTTTAGCCATATCTAGCTTGAGAGCTCCCCATCCCATAACACCACACGATTTTCTGTTCAAAAAATGCCCCGCCTCAGCTGCTATTATAATATTGTCTGATATCAATCTATCAGGTATGAAGGCACTCTGTGAGTCAGAAATAATATCATCCATCATCGGCTTCATTCTATTTGTTATCATCTTGGCCATAACCATATACACCACATTACTTAAGGCTATAGGTCTTAGATCAGATACTAGCTCGGGAGTATTGTTTTTAGGGATGAGAACGATATCAGTATCATTCAAATTAGGAGGCAAAGTATGGGATTCCAAGAATCCTATCACAAAGTTCGAAACATCCCCCCCCCCCCCTCCGCCCAACCACATCCCCCAAATGCTGATAAAAATCCAGATTCATTCTATCCGGGCCTGGAGCCTTATCGGGAAACATTGAAAAAAGAGCATCCTTGACCTCCTCCAATACAAAGGGGCGGAGCAGAGACTCATTATGAGCTTGTGTAACCCGTGGAGTAATAGTCTCAAAGAAACTTTCTCCATCATCCGGTATGCTAGAGTGGAATATCATATTAAAGTAGCCCAGGATAACATTTGTCATGGCATTTCCCTCCACCCAATCCCCAGCATCATTCATTAATCTAGATAGAGAGTTTTTTTTCTTACGGTGAGAAGCATACCTGTGGAAGAACCTCGTGTTGGTGTCTGCATCCTTAAGCCAGTGTTGCTTGGCTCTCTGTTTCCAGTATGCATCCTCCTGGGTTTCAAGGCAGCCCAGGCGTTCTTCCAGACGTTGGAATTCAGTCAGAGAAGCCTGATCAGAACACCCTCTCAACTGCAACTGTTCATTCTTTAAACTCACAATTTGCTCCCCAAACTTATGAAAACGGTCCCCTCCCCACTGGGCTAGGCGGCCACCACAGTAGCCAATACAATCTTGCAGCCCCATATCCCTTCCTTCATCCCAAGATTTCTCCACCACTTCCCTACACCCCTCATCATGCAGTCAGGCCATCTCAAACCGGAAATCCCTTCTCCCATTCCTTCCTTGGTCAAAACCACGAATACCCAGGAACAGTGCCGAATGGTCAGAATTACGGGTCAACAGGTTGTTTACCAGTGCTTGTGGAACAATACTGTGCCAACCTTCCGTTGCTAAAACCTTGTCCAATCTTTCCTCAATCCAGTCAGTCGTACCCTTGCTTTTTTCCCATGTAAATCGGTATCCATACATATGCATTTGGGACAAACCACATTCCTCAATAGTGTCCCCAAAACTGCGAAGGAGATTATTTGGATGTGGGTTTCCCACTCTTTTCTCATGCTGGTAGAGGAGATCATTAAAATCACCCACCATAACCCACGGAAGATGGGATCGTGATGCAAGTGACTTAATAAGCTCCCATGACTCAATCCTTCTGTTGCGTTGGGAGAAGCCATAAAAGCATGTCATTCGCCAATCTGAAAAACCATCCATGCTAACCTGAATATCAATATGATTTTTTAAGAAACTCAGTAGCCTTGCTGTATTATTCTTCCTCCATAACAAAGCTAATCCACCACCCACACCTACACGATCAACATAAAATAGACCATCGAAGCCAAGCTTGACACGGATACGTTGAGCATGTATTTGTTCCACCTTGGTTTCCATTAGAAAAATAAAATCGGGTTTCTTACGGGACGCCAGGTCCAAGATTTCTCGAACTGTCCGTGGATTACCCAAGCCACGACAGTTCCAACTTAGGGTACTCATTGGGTCGGGCGGGACTGGCAACCAGTTCCCGCCATAAGCAAGTTTTTTGACCCATCAATCATAGCCACATCTCCCATTCCATCCTCCGGCAAGCGTCTGCCTATATCATTGCCCTCCCGCCGCCGCTTTGCAACAGCAGCCACCCCCGTTTCCTCCTCCCCTGACGCCACCAACATTGGTTCGGGCAATCCAGCACGCTCAGCTCCACCCTCGCCATACTCCCGTCCAGGTCCTTCGGCTTCCCCCGTACCGGAATCAACCACGGCGCCCCCACTTCTCGAGGGCCTCAGTTTTCGCCCGCTTGTATCGCATCTGAGTACGGAAACTACGCAACATATAAAGCCGCATTCCTGGCTTTCAAACAAAATTTGTAAGAGTCTCCGAGCATACCGCAATAGAAACAAAACATATGTAGTCGCTCATATTTGAAATTAACCCAACACGTCGTTTTGTCCCTCTTGAGGAGATTCATCCTTCGTTTAATGGGCTTTGCTACTGGTATTGACACACGAATACGATAGAACGAAAGCCATGGCGCTCCTGCAAACCTGTCATCAAATTTAACAAACGTTCCAATAAATCTCCCAATCTGTTCTAAAATTGGTTGAGATGTATAGCCCATGGGAAGATCATGCAACTGAACCCATATGTCAACTGAATCCAGAGGCACATTAATCGGGAGCACACCATTAGGGACTTGTCTGCACACCAACGTATGATTCTCAAACGACTAGGGCCCCTCCTCCAACACATACCGCATGTCCGTGATATGATAGAACACGAACAAGAACAAATTTGGTTGTAGCTCCGAGACCTGAACACCACGCACCGGTTGCCACTGCCACACCGATGCAAGAACTTGTCGCATATGTTCCAACTTTATCAGTTTGGTTGTTAGAAACCGTCTGACAACACTCCATGATTGCTCGATGTCGGCCTGGTCCTCACCACCCTCTCCGATCGTCGGGTCGAACGACCTCTCATATTCCTCCTCCAAAGCAAGGTCCGCCCACCGTGCCGTCAGACCTGCTACGTCGTTTCCTACTGTCGACATTGCCATGAACAAAAGAAAAGCCGGTGAAGATACGCCGGAAAGAGATGCGGAATACGAAAACCCTAGCAAAAAACTAGGAAAAAGACAAAACCCTAGACTTTAGGCTAGAGAGAGAAACAAATTGGATTGTATGGATTCTTTATTTTTACAAATGAAAAGTTTCCTTGGTAAAACAATGGTATAATCTTACTAAATAATATGTATCACATGATGGGGCAACACTAACCAAGTTGGTCGAACTTAGTAAGTACAAGGTTACAAATTCAACTTCTTTTAAAAGTTAATTATAAAAATATTTTAATAACTCAATAAGGGTTTCAAGTGGCAAATGAGCTTTTTTTGTGGGGGAGAATTTCGAGATAACTCAAATTTGATTCCTACAAGTGATGATTCCCTTAACACTCAGACCACCTTGTGGTTTACACAAAAAAATAAATAAAAATATTTTAATTAAAGTTATTATGTTCCTTTGGACACTGTCAATTTTATTATGATTATAAAGAAGGAGATACCCTACATATACATTATTTGCCTCAACTAAGGTTTGAACCTATCACCTCTTATTTAAGGGAGCAATCCAATACCAGTGGATCACAAACCACTTGATAGTTGTCTTATTTTATTTAATCCTTTGGTATTAGTCTACATCTGATGTATCCAAAAAAAAAAAAAAAAATTGTATTTAGACTGCATATATGTTTGTTAATCTCTGTATAGTTGATGCCTTAACATTCGGTTTGAATCAATGATTAGAAATCATCAACATATATTCCTGGAAATCCGAGGTCAGCTTCATATTTCAGATGTTGTAGGTCCCGAAATTCTTATGATTCTGTGTGAGAATTGCCGACAAGCTTAATACAGAAATGGGAAATCTAATATATTAATCATACATTAATTTATATCTTTTCTTATTATTATTGTATCATCATATTCCACCAACACTAACACACATTTGTACTTTCATAGGACAAATTACCTCTCATATATAGTTTACAGACTATTGTACAAAAGTAGGGTTTATAACTATATATTGAGTAGTGACTGCGAGTTTCCTTCGTGATCAAAGAAAAAAAGCTAACACACAATACATACACATATAATTTTACAACTCACATTATATTGATAATAATAATGACTGTTGAATGATAATCTACCATGCATCATCTCTTTCTAAATTCAGAATTTATTGCTGAAGAAGATTCCTCATCAAGGTTTCCAAATCAAGATTAGTGGTGTCATCAATGGATGAAAGTTTTTGGGAAAGCCTTTCACACAGCCCATCCACTTCTCTGTGCAGCCTTTTGATGTACTTGCATGTCTCTTCTACTATCTCTGAGGCTGCTACCTGTGAATTAATATATAATTCATAACATATATAGCCTCATATGATAGAATAATGAACACTCGTATTACTGTCTAGGACCACCCGACTAATCCCCATTCGCCCAGAGAGGCATAGGAACTGGTCCAAGGGGAACTGTCACTTATGGGAATCAAACCCAGTTATCCCGGGGATCATCCCTTCGAAGAAGCTCAGTATTTGCCACTTGAGCTACCCTTTGACCGAGTCGAAGCGGTCCATATTTCAGTAGCAGAAAGTTCAACTGGAGTTATATGATCATATATACATACTATATATATATATACCTTGTTGGTGTAGGACCTTGAAGTGGAAGCTGGCAACAATGCTTGTAGTTTGTTGACCAAAGCATTAATCTCCTCTTCTGTGAAGCTTGATGATGATGATCTTCTGCGGCTAGACATGATGATTTTAATTTTGCCTTAGCTTCAATTCCTCTCTCTCACTTTCTCTCTCTCTCTCAGCTCCCCCTTATTACTACACAACAGTATATATAGTACAATGATTAAGGCAATTAGAGACAGGGAAGTTGAAGTGTGAGGTTTGCGTTGCTTAAAAAGGCAACGTATAGTAGGATGATGTTAGGACAAAACATAGAAAACTATAAATATTATTATATCAATAAAATTTTTGTCCAACTAACATCAGTCGTCTATAATAATACTACACAATCCCCATTTCTTATCCTCCAGAGTACTAAGCATATATAATATATAAACATAAATACATAAATATGTCGCCTAACTATTAGGTTATATTTTTAGTTGAGACGGAACAGATTAAGCTAGTAGCGAATGTATTTCCTTATACTTGCATAGCAGTCAAAGTTACGTTTCAGTGGCAGGATACTGGACTTAATTAGCTCTTTAGGCCTTCGCCCAACGTAACAATCCCCCACGAACAGTTGCTATTGTTATTGGGACTCTGATACCAATTCTTAGATCAAGCTCTTACCACTACGTCAAAAATTACCACCAGTGGTGAAAGTGCAACTTTATTTCCTTATACTTGCGTAGCAGTACTACGTTTCGATAGTATGATGTTAATTGGACTTTGGCCTTTCAGGGCCCAGCTCCACCCAACAATCCCCTACAATTGTTAATCTCCCTGAGACTCTGATGTCAATTTTCAAGATCAAACACTTACCTATATGTCAAAAGTTACAGTTACTTTATTTCCTTGATTATACGTGGAAATCAATCAACGGGCGTTTCGATGGCAAGATCGATGTTGAACTTTGACCCTTTATGCCTCCGCCCAACAAAATGTGATTGCAGTGTTCCAATCATGCATATATAACCTGAATAATGTTCACATCCGAGGGGAAACATGAAAATATTAGAATTTTCTCTTGGCACAAGTTGCAGCTAGCAGTCACCTACGTACAGCTAAAGAATTGTGGGGATGCCCCATCTGTCTCACACTTAACCTACAAGGAGTGGGGAGTGCATATATAAACAATTCATGTCAATCATATAACATAAACACAAACATATATACTGTAGTTGTAATTAATTGGACAGGTGTCTTCAGTTAATTGTAGATTAAGTGTACTTAACTAAGATGCTTATTAATTGTGTGCTACCAGAAAGATGTTCTTGTATATATTTTAATTAATAATCCTTAATTGTATAAGTTTGTTTCACTGATTACTGGTATTAAACTGTGGGGTCTTTAATTGCCTCTTTTGTCTTTGTCTATATATTATTATTATTATTATATATACACATCAATCTAATTAGAGAATTGTTGTTTTTAGACATGCATGCATATATTTCCACCAACATTAATTTTAGTTTATTAGGGGATGGGTTTTTCAGGCAGCAGTTTGTCTACCTTGATTAAGTATGCAATTCATTATCATGATTTTGTACAATCTATAGAGATAAGATTTGGTAGTGTTTAAGATCATCCTCCATCTCTCACATTTATGGGTAATGTGTTTAAAAATTATTGAGTCTCAACCACTCAAATTGGTATGCTATCATTTTGCAGATGTGATAGAGGAATTATTTTAAAGACAATTAAAACCAAAAAAAAAAAAAAAGAAAAAAAAAAGAAGGAATGTTTACTTTTAAAATAATAATAAAAAGGTGTCAAATAGGTCATTGAACTTATCTCTTTTGTGCAATTGGGTAAGAACTTATAAAGTGTGCAATCGAACCATCAAACAATTCAGCAAAATTTGTGCAATAATGGAACATTTTTCTGATTTCTTTTAATGCAATTTGTGTTAAAAATATTTTAATCTTTAATTAATCACAATTAGTATGACTGGGGAAAATGCAACTCTTAGTACATACCATGTAAGCAATATACTCGGATGACTCTACCAAAAGAATTAGAAAAATGTCGCGATCAATTGTACATATTTTGCTTGTTTGACACTTCAATTACACATTTTTTAAGTTGAGTGACACAATTGCACAAAAGCAAGAAGTTTAGTGACATATTTGATAATTGTTCCTAAAAATAATAAAATTTAAGCGATGAATATAATAAACAATGATTTATAATGACATTAATTAATTTATTTAGTTAATAATTATAAGTTCAATGGGTTTACCAAATAAACATGTATAGAAAGTTCAACAATACTATTATACTCCCACTCATAAAACATAAGACTTAACATTAAAATTTCAACTCAAACAATATAATTTGGGTGACAATAAGGAAATTTCGCAACCACTACTTGAGGGTGTACTACGTTGTGTAAACATTTACTCACACGACTCAAACAATACAATTAATAGTTACAATTATAATATCTCTAAACCAATGAGAATGTTGGGTCGAGGTCGGTGAAGGGCCGAGTCCAACAATTAGGGCTAAGAAGATTGTTAGGTGGAGACCGATGAAAGGTCAAATCCATCACTTGTTTCTTGAAAATATAATGACCGTGTAAGAAAATAAAGCTGCACTGATCGAAAGCTGGTGAAAGGCCAAGTCCAACACTTTACCTCTCGAAAATGTGATGAATCATATATACCAAATTATCTGAAATGAAGGTGACTCATCTCTACCATGCGTGGGGTGGAGGTCAATGGTTCCAAGTACCAAACTAATCCTACTTCAATTCAATTCAAAGAGGAAGACTTTTCACACATCCATGTGAACTGCGTTACCAAATGCTCCAATACAATGTATTCGGTGGGTACATGAAAACGTATCATTTTTTTTTTCTCAAATATATTCAAAACACCTACAATTAGGCTTATATTAGCAATGGAAGAAATCGTTCCTCACAAGTTTTAGCTAGGGTTCCATCAATTCGCATACTCTATATTCATGAAGCTAAGATCCATTTTGTGACTACTTATTTGTATTACCAAACCCTAACGATGCTTTGCTGCCTCCAGAGGCAAATCCAAGAATTTTTTCTGAGTGGGAACGAAGTTCAAATGAATCAAAAAGTGTTTATGACAAAATATCGAGATTTAAAAAAAAAAAAAAAACAAAAAAAAACAAGCTACCTAAACATCTAGTAATTTGTATATATATACATTTCGTTTATATATATAAGTTACTACTACCTAACATCTATTGCTCCTATCTAGATCCGCCCCTGACTACCTTAGCTTTAAGGTTTGAAATTTTAGTTGGTTATATGATTTTGGCTATGAACTGTCTAATCCAAGTTACAATTGTAAATAACATGTTGAAATAAATGTGTAAGCAACAAAAAGTAGGGGTCAATCTTACCTTTTGGTACACCCCCATTTGAATTTTAGTCTCTGCATTATTACTTCTTATTAAAGTTGGCAAAGGTTGAATGTTGAATATACATAGAATTTAGAATGCCTGTGGGTTGTTTGTGTAATAGAGTTCTCATCGGCCGTCTTCTTTATTCGATTCCAATATCATGAGATTCCTAAATTAACTTTAACCTCATTCATTGTATGACTATATATGAGTGTTATTGATCAGTTATACTTCTTCTCCCAAAAGGTTGAATCCCCAACTCTAAGGGCCTTCACATCCTATCACAACAGAGCATTTAGGAGGATGTAAACTATGGTGATTCAATGACTCAGCAGACATGACCAAATGTCAGTGCGTACAAGAGAATTGATTAGTTTTTCTATGCCAGTTTATTGGTGATCTTTTTTGTATGAATTTAATTGATAGTGTTATATAATTTTTTTTAAAAAGAAAATATTACAAGTATTGTTGTTTTATTAAAAAATTATGAAACCCTTTATACGCCAACTACTATGTAGTGTAATGATATTTTGTTACCATTCCAAATGGGTGGTCAGAGGTAGTACGCGCAACAATTAATTATTTTTGCTTGACAAAGAGTGAGAAAGTATAGAATAAATATTACCTTGTAAGGAATTTCTTATGTTTCACGCATTCCCCTATACTATTAAATCTTTTCTATTTCATACAATGAGCATAAATAAAAAGAATAAGGGTCAAATAGGCCACTGAACTGCACACCAAGTTGCAATTAGGCCATCCAACTCAAAAAAAGTACAATTGGGTCCCTGAACTACACAAATTTATGCAATTAGATCTAAAATGACTTGTTTACCTAATACTTTGCTGACGTGGAGGTTGTGGATTTTAAAAATAATTTTAAACAAAATTTAATTAAAAAAACAAAACAAAACAAAACAAAACGACCGGAGACAAAATCGTCTCCGGCCGTCCTTCGTCTCCTGCCATGGAGACGAAGGACGGCCGGAGACGAAATCCGTTCTGTTTTTTTTTTTTTTTTAATTAATTTTTGTTTAAAATTATTTTTAAAATCTGCAACTTACATGGCAGGTAAATAGGTCATTTTAGACCTAATTGCATAAATTTGTGTAGTTCAGAGACTTAATTGTATCTTTTTTAAGTTCGATGGCCTAATTGTAGTTTGATGTGCAGTTCAGTGGCCTATTTGACCCTTATTCCTAAATAAAATTACAACAAATTTACAATCATTAAAGTTCTGATTAATACATTTAACAATAATGTATTAAACAAATCCCTAAATAATTGAGCACTAAAATTCCAAAATTAGTCGCTATACAAATTAAATAAACTCTGTGACCTCATATTAGTCATCAATCCAGTTTGATGATCAATTTGCGGCCATGGGCACATAGACCAATTTCATTTTGGACACAGATAATTAGGGCATGTGTATTGGCACGGAAATTACAAGCCCTACCTACAGGCTACAGGCTAGCTATTAGGTAAAGGAAATTCTAATTTCATACATGCATCTCTCTAACCATTTCAAAAAATGTACTTTATTATTATTATTATTATTATTATTATTATTATTATTATTATTATTATTATTATTATTAGAAAAAATTGCAATTTTTTTGTGCCTAAGTTTTAAGTAATTATAGCTTTTGTACCTACTTGTCAGTCGTATTCACTTCTGGTTCTAAAATTATAACTGACATTGTGAATTTTGTCATTTTTCTAATAAAACAGTAGAGACGAAATTTACAATGTCTGTTATAACTTAGAGACGAGAAATGAGCACAACCAACAAGTAGAGGCGAATCCTATAATTACCCTATAACTTAAGTGCAATTTTCCCTTTATATATATATATATATATATATATATATATATATATATATATATATATATATATATATATAGAGAGAGAGAGAGAGAGAGAGAGAGAGAGAGAGAATCGCACTTTTGGTCATTCAGTTAGTACCCAATTTGCAATGTTATCCTTACTTTCTAATTTGGACAGATTTGGTCCCTCAATTAGTACACCGTTTGTCGTTTTAGTCCTTCTGTTAGATAATCATCTTAAACTCCAGTTACACCATGGGTATTATAGGAATTTCACTTAGCCTTGATTATAATAGCTTAGCTTCTTTCCGTTTCTCCTCCCTGTCTGCCATTTCCTCGAGCACTGTCTACAACCCTAACCCGTTGGAAGAGAAGCTGCTCCAAGCCATTTCCTCCACCATAGTTTTTGCCCAATTTCTGTTCCTAAATCGGAGCGAGAACTGAGAAAGAGATTCTGATCGGAAGCTAACTGAGACAGTGAAAGTTGTAACCGTCCAACGCGAAAATCATCTTCAAAATCCAGGAAAGGAGAAAAAAAATATTAAGAAGGGATAAATTATTGGGTGCCATGTTGTTGAGAGTGTGGAAATGGTACTAGAATTGCTTAGCGGTGCATCCGGTAAAACGCAGGTCATCAGCTCCGGCGTGATTTAGGGTTTGGGCAATATTTTTGCACAGGCCCTCACTCATTACACTGCCAGTACTCCCCACAATCTTCCCTCTGTAAGTATCCCAATTGATATGCTATTTGTCCTCCGCATCGAGAGTCTATGGGGTTTATCTTGAGCCATGGGTACGGGTTGACCGAGGTGGCTGGGGTGGTGGTGTCGTGCGTGTGGAAACCGAAATGGAATGAATTACCTGCGGTGGAGCGGGCAAAACTGAAGGCAGGCAAGGGTTGAGAACACTGGGGACGGCAACGGTGGACGTGGTGGAAGTGAATTCTGGCTAGAGAGTGAAGCGAGACGGGCTGACAATGGGGGAGATAATTCAGAAACATCCACTGGAAAAATTCAAAAATTTGCTCTCAGAGGTATCGCCAAAAAGATGGGGACATTAACCAACGTCCACCTGGTGGTCGCTTTCCTCTACCCTCGGCGTACTACTCCAACCAGCGACCTTCGTATCTCTCTCTCGAATGCCAGCAACAGTTCCGACGATATCTGGGTCTCACCGGCAACCCCTGTTCTCTATAGTAAGCAGGGCAGATCCGGTATGGACGCAGCGGCAGACTGCGTCATGGCTGGATCCCCTTCGTTGTAGTAGCGGACTGGCGAAGCAGAGAAGACCTTCACCTCGATCTGCAGTTTCCGGCGTACTGGTTCCGGTGATGAGTGGCAGCAAGACTGGCAGCGTCGACCTTCTCTCCTATTGATATTCAAGGCTATGTGAAATTCCATTTTTGTCCATGGTTTTAATGGAGGTTAGGATGACTAACTAACAGAAGGACTAAATTGACAAACGTCGGACTAATTGAGGGACCAAATCTGTCTAAACTAGAAAGCAAGGATAACATTGTAAATTGGGTACTAACTGAGGGACCAAAAGTGTGATTTACTATATATATATATATATATATATATATATATATATATAATGGGAAAATTACACTTTTTGTTCTTAAGTTATAGGGTAATTATAGGATTCGCCCCTACTTGTTGGTTGTGCTCATTTCTCGTCTCTAAGTTATAACAGACGTTGTAAATTTTGTCTCTAATGTTTTATTAGAAAAATGACGAAATTCACAACGTCAGTTATATATAATTCAATTCCCCTGCGCTTGTGCGGTAAATTTGAGCCATTGATATCGCTAAAATTTACTGTCCAGATTGAACACAGATTAAAAAAATAACACGGTGACATTTTGGTCTTTTTGCATCTAGGTCAAATTTAAGGTGCGTGGTCTGTGTGTTTAAGGTGCGTCAGTGTTGAAACTTAAGGTGCGTGGTTTCCTTCTTAAGGTGCATGATCTGTATGCTTAAGGTGCGTCAGTTGTTGAAACTTAAGGTGCATCAGTTGTTGAAACTTAAGGTGCGCCATTTATTATAACTTTAGGTGTGTGGTTTGTGTTCTTAAGGTGCTTTGTTTGTGTGCTTAAGGTGCGTGGTTTGTATACTTAAGGTGCGTCATTTTAATGCTTGTGGAGAGTGATACGCCCTTAATTGTAATTATATAGTTTAATTAGGAAGAATTAATTATATTTCTAGAATTAGTATGATAATTAGGATGGTACAACTTTTTTTTTTTTTTTTTTTTTTTTTGAATGCTACTAGCTCTATTACATTGTAGTATCTGTTCATTAGGATGGTACAACTTAATTAGTGGGAGAGTTAATATTGTACCTAAATTAGTATATGGAAATTATGTAAATCACAATATATCATTACCTTGTATAATTAGTATAATTTTAGTAGGTTAATTATTATAGGTATTAGTAGATTAGTATAAATAGACCATTGTATATGAAGATGGAAAAAGCAGAGAGAAATATATTGTTATTCTAGTCATTTATAGTGAAGAGTTCTTCATTCTCTTCTGTTATATTATTTTTCTTTTGGAGTTACCGTAACTCGAATACGGATTGGAGCCAGAAGCCTGCTCGAAAGGTTTCTTCCGTTGCGTACTAAATTCCGGTACGTAACATTGGTGCTTTCGTTGATTCCATTGGTGAGAGTATCCCTTATCCTTTTATTTTTTATTTTTTTTATTTTTATTTTTTTGTTTTTATTTCATTTTGGCTTCATTTTTGTTTTTATTTTTAGTATTATTGTTTTTTTTTTTTTTGCCGCATTTCTCAGAAATCACAAAAAAAAAAAAGTGAAACATTTGACCAAAAAAAAGGAAAAAGAAAAGAAAACAAAGTAAAAAAAAAAACGACAGAAAGGAAAAAAAGAAAAAAAAGAGTTTTTTTTATTATTATTATGGAAAATATTACTCACCGGTGTTTATTGGTTTCTGTACATCAAGTTTGGTATCCGATTGATGATTTTGTATTGTATGAGATCGTTTTTACGAAAGGATCCGTGCAATATATTCATATTTTAAAGGATGAGAATTACACCTTCCAAGCTTTGGTATGGTTTGATTCTATTGTGGATTCAATTGTAGCCAAACAAGCATTCCATTGACAAAACATTTATGAAGGGTATTGCACTATGAATATAGAATTTCCTGATGCAAAATTAATCATGGCTACTTGTGGGGAAGTAGATCATCAAACTCCCACTCTTCATGTGGAAATTGATGCGGAAGTGATATTCAAAAAAGGGATTGTTGATAATGTCGTTGACATGAGTTCTTGTGCAATTATTGATGAGGACTATTCTAATCAAGAAGAAATTCAAAATTTTACGGAGGAGGAGGTAGATCCTGCACCAAATACTATGGGGGAACACAACACGGTTCGCATGGATTCACCCCAAATTGAAGCACCAATCAACGATAAAGTAGCACCTACAATTGTGCATATTAAGTCTCCCAAATTGTTTCAAGAATCAATTTTCACATCATTAGTGCCTTTGGAGGAAAATTTCACTGCAGTAGAAATGATACCCAAATTGGCCCAAATCATGCCACCAACAAGGACTATTACAGGACAATCCAGTGAACATGTTGTTTATGATGTCCATGTTTGGCAAATCAATCAACCAGTATCAAGGCATGGATATGCTCATTTCCTTACCTACACCTTGAGGACAAGATGTTTTTTGAAGGGGTGGAGAGTGATACGCCCTTAATTGTAATTATATAGTTTAATTAGGAAGAATTAATTATATTTCTAGAATTAGTATGATAATTAGGATGGTACAACTTAATTAGTGGGAGAGTTAATATTGTACCTAAATTAGTATAGGGAAATTATGTAAATCACAATATATCATTACCTTGTATAATTAGTAGGTTAATTATTATAGGTATTAGTAGATTAGTATAAATAGGCCATTGTATATGAAGATGGAAAAAGCAGAGAGAAATGTATTGTTATTCTAGTCATTTATATTGAAGAGTTCTTCATTCTCTTCTGTTATATTATTTTTCTTTTGGAATTACCGTAACTCGAATACGGATTGGAGCCAGAAGCTTGCTCGAAAGATTTCTTCCGTTGCGTACTAAATTCCGCGTCAACCGCAACATACATAATTTCATCCAATTTTAGATTTTGTAGTGATTAATTGCATGCTTCTAATAATGTAGCTATCTTCAAACTTATTAGGTAGCGTTTTGCTACCCTTGAAGTCCTATTTAATACGAATATGATTAGTCTCGGGTGTGAAGTACTAATATAGTAATATACATGGTTGGGAAACTTATGATATATTAAAAAAAAAAAAAAAAAAGAAGTAAAAGTGAAAACATTATTACTTTTCCAAATTAATAAGTAAATACCGAAGCAATAAATCAATAATAAGCTATGGACCTATCCGGGTTTACCCCTCTTTCATGTTCCAAAAAAATAATAATAATAATAATAAGCTAAGGACCTTGTAGTCCAATGACACTAAGTTGATCCCTCATAGGGGAGCTGAGGTTGTTGGTTCGAACCATATTGGAAGTAATATTGGCTCTTTGTGCTTCATTTGGTTGAGAAAGTGGTTATGAACATATACTACATTGTAATAAAGTCAGTAATATTAAAAAAAAATCAATAATAACCTTATATTGATGATAGTTGCAATAACAAAATCCTAAATGTAATTTGAGGCCTCAATTTAATTAGTAAATTAGTGTTAATATTTTTTTTTAAAGCAATCAACAAGGCAATAATATATTAAAGGAAGACCAAAACAGATCGAGTCAGGTGGGATAACTATTAAATTATCTGATCTAGGAACAAAATTAACAAAACACTGAACAAACGTAGACATAACAGTTCTGCACTCATCAACTGTGTACCCAAGATAAGAACGCAAAGTGATGTTGCCCGCTCATAAGTACTTCTGTAAATTGGAGCAGTCCGTGAGAAGTTCGACCCTTTATACCCCATGATTTTTAAGTCACAACAAGACTTCCTTATACGCCATAGATTTCGCTACCAGAGGTGAAAGACAAACTGGAACAAAAAAAACCAAGAACAAGCGTGTTCTTGCTGGGACATAGCATGCATGAAGCATGATCACGTGGGTTGCAAATTGCAATTGCATGATAAAATCTTATCGATTAAGACAAATAATGCACAACTTGGGGTTTGCAAATTGTTGACTTTTATTTTTTACATATTTATTTATTTTTGATAATTGTCAAATAAGTTCTGAAATTTTTATGAGAACATACATGAATTAAGTTATCAAATTCGGAAAAAAAAAAAACACCATATTAACAATTGAATTCAATAAAATAGTGCAATTAGCATTTTTAGTTAGCCACATTTAAATTATCGTTAATGTGTCAGGTTATATTTATAGTATACTTTCATGATTTAGACTCCAAATTATCATTTTCACCTTCCATCCACCACACTTTCATTTTTTTTTTTCAAAAAATAAAAATAAAAATAAAAATTATTGTCATTTGATAGTTGCATTACATAACAATTAATTTATTGTCGAGTTATTGTGAGAAAATTGTAATTTATGTCCTCACAAATATGTCAATTAT